TGGTGACTAGACGATATACTTATTCAGGGCGTGTATTTGTGTGTACGCCGTACCCGTGCCCGGCCCTGTTTCCCGCACCCAGACTTTGGACATTATTTTTTTTTATCTAAACATCGACTCGATGGATTTAATTCATATTTTCTACACAAAAAATCAAATAAATGTTTGAAAAAAATCTTAACTTCGAATGAAGGTTTAACACTTTCTAGAATTTTAGAGATCGACGATTTGCATATTTTAGGGCGCACTCAACCGTCAAATTTTCCGATTTTTTGCAAATTGTTCTCAATATACGGTTCAATTTTATGATTTCTTCAATGCCACTTTACAAGTATACCTAACTGTTTCTAAAAATGCTAGTTTTATGTGCAACGAGTTGTCTGTGTTCATTATTATACATTTAGTCGGAGACGTATATATTACATGTATATATGTCTCTGATTTAGTGATATACTGAAAAAAATATACTATTTGATATTGTAACCTCCACAACGTTTTAATATTTTGACAAGCGTGTAGTAATAATAACTTTCTTATCATTTTTTTTTATTATTATTATTCGATCATTTGTCACGTTTTGATAACATTGAACTGTAGAGATGCCACGTTTTAGTAACATTGAACTGTTAAGAGGTCACGTTTTGGTAACATTGAACTGTAGGGAGATCATGTTTGGTAATATTGGACTGTAGAGAAGTCACGTTTTGGTAACATTGAACTGTGAAAAGATCATGTTTGGTAACATTGGACTGTAGAGAGGTCACATTTCGGTAACATTGGACTATAGAGAGGTCACGTTTTGGTATCATTGAAATGTAGAGAGGTCACATTTTGGTAACATTGAACTGTAGAGAGGTCACGTTTTGGAAACATCGAACTGTAGAGAGGTCACCTTTGGTTACATTAAACTGTAGAGAGGTCAAGTTTTGGTAACATTGAACTGTTAAGAGGTCACGTTTTGGTAACATTGAGCTGTAGGGAGATCATGTTTGTCACAAAAAAAACCTGGTCGTCACCAGGCCTCGATCTATTCACATACAAAAAATGTCATGACAATCTGTCTCTATGTGTGTACATGTATACCATTGGTTTTAGGATTGACATTGGGCTTTATGGGGTTGTTAGGCATTTTGGGAGATGAGCAGGCAGTGGGGAGGCCAGGGTTGCTTATCTCGGAGGATTTGCTAAGATCTGAGAACTGATTTTCAAGCTCAATACTGTATGTTGAGTTGAAAAGAGCTGTCGAGAAATTCGGCATACCACATTGGATGCATTCCCATGATATGTTGCTTGTATTCATGAACTGTATATGTGGGATTGCATACCCTGACAGTCCATGTGAAACCATGTTTAACAACTATTACAGCATATGGCTTTATGTTTCCAGGTATTTGGACCTAAACCTAAACTAAGGTGTTCAAAAAGATTAATTTTACATGTTTCAGGGGTTTATATATATATATATCTTCATTGGGGTGTCATTTTTACCGAAAACATGTAAAATTACCCTGAACACCTTAGTTTAGGTCCAAATATAACTGTAACAAATTCTCAGGTCATAGTGTCGATATCGCACATTAGGCTAGTGATGTTTCGTTACAGATCGGTCACATATTTCAATAGGTCGGTATGAATACCATGCTGTACTATCGACCCAAACGTCTCAAAAACGCTGCGAGAGAGAGATAGCGACAGAGAAAGCGTACCATCAGGGGAGCTTTTCTGTGCTCAGAGAGAAAGAGAGACAGAGAAATGACACCATCAGTGAAGGTTGTCTGTGATCAGAGAGAAAGAGGGACAGAGAAAGCGTACCATCAGGGGAGCTTTTTTGTGCCCAGAGAGAAAGACAGACAGAGAAATGACACCATCAGGAAAGGTTGTCTGTGCTCGGAGAGAAAGAGAGACAAACAAACGATACCATCAGGAAAGGTTGTCTATGTTTGGAGAGAAAGAGAGACAGAGAAAGCATACCATTAGGAAAGGTTGCCTGTGCTTGGGGAGAACGAGAGACAGAGAAAGCATACCATTGTGGAAGGTTGTCTGTGCTTGAAGAGCAAGAGAGACGACAGAGAAAGCGTTTATATCAGCCCATTTTACCGAAATATTTTATGCATAATCTTCGACAACGAATGTGTAAGCAATGTACTAGTAAATCCGATTTTCTAAATTTGGTAGATTGTTTAAATTTTTAACACATTCTTTTACGCTTTTCTTTCCTAATGTTGTGTGGTGGTTAATGTTGTCATGGGCACGGAAGTTGTAATGAGACAATGAAATATTCAAATAGTCGACGCATTTGTCTTCAAACAGACGTCAGGAATAGTTCAGGTAGTCCGCCTTTAAAATGTCGTGACTTTAAACAACATGGAACTTAACGTTTATGACGTTTTGGAGATTCCGAGTTAGTATTCTAAAACCCACGGAAGTTTTACATGTTATTAACATTTTTAAGGATAATTGCTAACTTAATGAATATTTTTGACTTTATCTCACGATTTTGGCATAAGATACCTCATATATCTAAATACTCAAAATGGAGACGAAAACCATATATATAGCGTCTACAATACAAAATGTATAAACAAACAATGAAATGATGTTGTGATAATGTTGCTTTTTATTGACCTATTCTGCCACGATTCAAGAATATTGATCAAAAATAAAACACACTAAGACAATTTTAAAATGATAAAACATATACATGTAGTTACATTATAGACACATGTAGTAATGTGACTGGTGTCCTCTCATTTCATCTCCATAACAAATTTAACAAAATCCAGTTAAAGACGAGTAAGATATTGCAGATCCGCTTTACAACAGATGGTCATTGTAATTCCAAAATAAAACAACATCAAACTCCACGACAGTAGTCGTGTCCTGTAATCTTGAACCACACAAATGGTTGAGAAATAGAGCTCCGTTAATGTAGTATTAGTTTCAGGTGTTATTGCAAGACTATAATTTCAGGAGCAATGCAAAGATAGTACGTATACAGTTAAACCCCGTTTACTCAAACTTGTAGGGTCCAGATCAATAGTTTGAGGTATTTGACGAATCCAAGGTTCGAACCCCATCGTAATTGTTTAATCAGGTGGGACAACAGACGGTACGAGCAACTATCGCAGATGGTAAATGAAAGAAGAAAAACAGAAGTTTAATTAAGATAACAGCATTTAATAAGATTTAAAATGAAAGCATATAGCCACCGATATTAAGAAAGTAAAAATAAATAAAAAGCTGCATGTGTAACGTATCCTACTTGTCGTATTGACATAGTCCTACATACTGTAATCGGCTACGCTAATTTTACAAAACTTCGAAACGATAGGAACTGCTCGATCATTTTAAAAGGAAAAAAAAATCTTAATTCTTGCTATCATAATGTCGATTTATAACGAAATAAACAATCAAGACGTATTCAAGTTTAAATTTGTCGGATTCAATCCAGACGTATTCAAGTTAAAGCGGATTCTGCTATGTGATTTCCGCTTAATATTGACATGCCGAAATAAGGTTTTACACACCAAGTGAATTAACACTTCCGCCAAATCATCGATGTCAAAACTTTATCTGGAAAAATAAATATGCACACAAAATGGTAATGCAGCTACAACAGGGTAACAGTACAATTACTTAATGATACTACCGTTTTTCCTCTAATAACTGACGTCCAGCCGACACCTGTATAAGCGAAATGATCGTTGACCATAACCTGTGTCTCGAGACAGCTTTACATAGAATATGTACGAACTCGGTCGGGACCAAACGAACTGTTCGTCGAATGAGGGGTATTCGAGTAAACCGAGTTCGAGGAAGTGGGGTTTTACTGTAGTTGAAAAGCTGCAATAAACAATGCTTTCGATAAGATGACGCACATTGGATGCTTACAGAGGTAGCTTTTTTGCTGAATCTGTGTGTTTCAACAATAATGCAATTCATTGTTTAAAACAGGTTGCTTTTTAACAATGGTAACGTGTGAAAAAAAACCGGAAACACATTCTACCAACAGAATACACGCTTGTGTCATGTTGGTTTTAAGAATCTCTGCCACCACGGAATCAAACCATACATACAGTAAGCTGCCTTTACTTTCGATCGTGATATACATGTCTTGACTGGACCAGGGTATCACTACTGAGGCCAGGTAGTTCAGTCAGAGCGGTAATATTAGGATCATAGATCCGTGGTATTACCACTGAAGCCAGGTAGTTCAGCCAGATCGGTAATATAATGGTCATAGATCCACGGTATTACCACTGAAGCCAGGTAGTTCAGTCAGAGCGGTAATATAAGATCATAGATCCATGGTATTACCACTGAAGCCAGGAAGTTCAGTCAGAGTGGTAAAATAAGGATCATAGATCCATGGCATTACCATTGAAGCCAGGTAGTTCAGCCAGATCGGTAATATAATAGTCATAGATCCAAGGTATTACCACTGAAGCCAGGTAATTCAGTCAGAGCGGTAATATAATGATCATAGATCCAGGGTATTACCACTTAAGCCAGGTAGTTCAGCCAGGTCGGTAATATAATGGTCATAGATCCAAGGTATTACCACTGAAGCCAGGTATCTCAGTCAGAGCGGTAATATAAGATCATAGATCCATGGTATTACCACTGAAGCCAGATAGTTCAGTCAGAGTGGTAATATAAGGATCATAGATCCATGGTATTACCATTGAAGCCAGGTAGTTCCGCCAGATCGGTAATATAATGGTCATAGATCCAGGGTATTACCACTGAAGCCAGGTAGTTCAGCCAGATTGGTAATATAATGGTCATAGAGCCAAGTTATTACCACTGAAGCCAGGTAATTCAGTCAGAGCGGTAATATAATGATCATAGATCCAGGGTATTACCACTTAAGCCAGGTAGTTCAGCCAGATCGGTAACATAATGGTCATAGATCCAAGGTATTACCACTGAAGCCAGGTAGTTCAGCCAGAGCGGTAATATAATGATCATAGATCTAGGGTATTACCACTTAAGCCAGGTAGTTCAGTCAGAGCTGTAATATAATGATCTTATATCCAGGGTATTACCACTGAAGCCAGGTAGTTCAGTCAGAGCGGTAATATAAGGATCATAGATCCAGGGTATTACCACTGAAGCCAGGTAGTTCAGTCAGAGCGGTAATATAATGATCTTATATCCAGGGTATTACCACTGAAGCCAGGTAGGTCAGTCAGAGTGGTTATACAATGATCATAGATCTGGGGTATTGACCTGTTCTCCTCTAAATTTTGAAATTCATAAGGTAAAAGGACTTTACACACTTCCCCTTTTGTTTCTATTTAAATTAATCTAGATGCCCAACTATTTGACCCCTAGCATCCATCACCGATGGTTCATAGAAGGACGAAACAACGGTATGATGGAGATTAGTTCTTTTTTTGGCAGTTTCAAATATACATATTTACTGTTTTTGGGCGTGGTTCGATAATCTTTAACTTCATTCTCATCTATTTTTTTTGTTCAGTTAAACCATTGAAAATATTTCAATGTACTGTATATATCAGCTTTAAAAAACCATTTGATACACAGATATATGTAGGTAAAGCTCACAAAAACAAATATGTTAGGTTAGACAAATTACATACTGCCAACATTACAGCATACAATTAGTGAGGCTAAGTTGATATTTAATGGAAAATGCAAAATATGGTCCAATTCTGAATATGTTCTAAACAGAAATACACAATTAAATAAAAAAGCAAAAAATAAGCACAAAATGTAATTAGGATATAAAAAAGTGGTGTGTTTTTTTTACAAAAAAACAATTTAACCGAAAGCAGTCTCAACGATTAATCAATGCTATTTGATGCGATAAAATGTATTTGACGGAATGATGATATAAACGATGTATGTATACATATGTTACATAGCAAGATCTATCAGATAACAGCATACCTTGACTATTGGTGATATATTTGAAGTAAACATAATGAAATGTGATTAATATTCTTCAAGACAGCATTGAATCATATATCATAGAAATTTTAAAAACCCCAATAAAATGTAGCACAGCAAGTGAAACAACTGTACATTTACCTGTATATTTGTAGGTTTATGTTATGTACATATTTTCTTTCAATTATTCCCAGGTTCGATGTACATCAAAAGCACGATTATTCTTAGCAAATTATTGTTAAGACACTGGATAATTGTCAACGTATTACTTACCTTGCATAAAAATGCCCAAGCCTTGCTATACCCAGCGGCTTTATTATTGTGATGGAGAAATATTTCTCGAAAATAAGTATTAAAAACTGCAGTCGATAACCGGCTTATCGTATCAAAGCATCACATGAACTTAGTTCTCTTTAGGTTATATATGTCAGTAGACTTGTGTACTTCTCGTATAAATGGTTCAACCCCCTTGATATTAATATTCTGATAAACTATGAACCGATTCAAACCAAAACAAAGCGAAACAAAAAGGTACGTATGCCATTTTCTTTAAGTCTTACGGTAACATTTTGCTGATTATTGCAACTGTCCAGTTTACAAGGAGCATCGTCTTAAGTTTTAGTGTCAACGTTTGTAGTGTCGTATATATGTGGAATTTCCACCTCCCTGCGTCCAAGCTGTTCATAATTTCCCTCTGTGTTGGAGATCTGCGCAATTCTTTGTTCCTTGTGAGTTGCTATTTCATAGTCATAGTTACCATCTACAAAATGCAATACAAAATATTACCTTGATTAGATTGAATGTCTTAAATGATATTAGTGCGATAATATGCCATGAAGTTGAGATATCCTAACATCGTTTGAAGCTAGGTAAAGGTTGGGGCAAAGTATCGCAGTTTCATGTCGCGAAACTAATTTCTTTTTAAAACGCATTTATTGATCATTGTAGGATCCTGTGATGTAGTGTTTTGCTTCGAAGGGTTAATAATAGGTGTGGTTTTTTTTTGTGAAAACAGTGAAATCGGGAAAGACATCACTAATTTGCAAAACAAGAAAACGAACCAATATCTGTTTTTCGCATTTCTTAATGTAATTATACTGGATCACAGTTTTTACCTTGATCGTTATTTAACTCGTTTGCAGTTCTCGACAATGTTATATCTGTCATATGTGTAGAACTTGTGGTGTCACCTCGCTTCATCGTCCGACGTCTTGTCTGAACAATGATCACGACGACCAGAGCCAGTATAACTACTCCAGATCCGACGCCAATCCCAACTGCAGCATCCTCATTCATTATTGTAACAACTACAACATTTCCATTAGTTAGTTATCATTGTATATCTTAAGCAATCATTCTCAGTACATATCATTATGTTATATTATTGTGATGTCTGTTTGAAGTATTATATTTTACCGTGATTGTGTTAAAGCAAACGCTACGTACAACAATGTGTTTGAAACACTTACTTCTACTGTTTTTGAAGGGTACAGTAATGGCTATACATGTACATGCAAACTCATCGCAGAGAATGTAACCAAAGTTTTACTCTTGGTGTCACATTTGTCTCCTGTCCATCCCTCTGTACATCCTGTCGCACGATCCCCCGTTTCCATGTCACAACTCAAACCTTGGCAATTACCACAGGCCTTTAAACATTGGCTGCCGTGAAAACCGGCTACACATACTACAACGGGAAATGGAAGTGCAGTGAATTAATTAAACTTGAATTGCTTGTAACGGGGAGTTTTTTAAGAAGAAAACAAATCTAGATTTTTTATTATTAAAAGAAGACGTATTTTTAACTAACAATTCATGAAGCCATGGTAAACACTTTTAAAATCATTGCTTGCAAAGCTGTGTCATTCAAATAGATCATAAATACCATACAAAAACAGTTCAATACTTATATTTACGTTTTCTCTGCCTCTTATGTTCCTTTTTAACTTATAATTTATATTTAAAATTAAAAATGCCCGCCTTATTGACAGTCCACACAATTTCGTTCAATAGTTTGAACAGCGAATTGTTGCGTGCTGATTGGCAAACAAAGTACTAGTACTTTAAAATTTTAACAAACACTTCAATTTTATTCCACAATTCAGTATCAATACAATTGCATATGATATGTATATAGGGTGATTTAAGTTTATCAATAGAACTCTGAGCTGAAAGTTAGATTTTAAATTGTTTCGATTTTCCCCCGGAACAAATTTCGCGCATGGACAAATACAGTGAACACCGTAAATCCGACCTTGCCCTCCACGAGGGAGTTATTTTTGGAAGTTTATGTGAAGAATCCAGGCGTGAATTTATTTGTTGATTGTATGGGAACCTGACAACAGTAGGTAGATTCTATAACAGCCTCTTTATTTGACCTGTCGTCAGAATTAAACTGAGGAACCGTAGATGCGACACGCGTGAAACTGATAGCGTTTGAAGTGAGTGATCTTGCGACGGAGCACAGGTTCGTTACAAATGTCTGAAATGTTTATGTGTGCTGTGACTCATATCAGTAGGTCTGTAACATATGTGTCAGTAGGTCTATAGAATATGTGTATTTCAGACATTTGTAACGAACCCCTGTTGACCAGTGCAGTGTAACACACGAGCTTTCTGATAAATTGCAAGAGCGTTAAAATTGTTTCCGTTGCCGGCATTGGTGATTTCAACCGATGTGCATTTTGTACGATATCGCAGACCTTGGTCTTGTTTTCGTTGTAATAAAAGTGGTTTTTATTTTATTTTTTATTTTGCACATAAATTTACAATGACATTGTCAAATTTCACAATGCCCGGCGATATTTCAGCAGCCGTCATGTTTATTTACATTGGATATTGTAGTTCCGGTCAGTGTTGTATTAATACGCTAAGAATTGTGTCTCGTGATGCATGGTAATTAAAGTCCCATCAACGACACAGCTTTCAAAGAGGCTATATAGTGACAATGCCATGCAAATGTAAATATTAACTATTGAACACCAGCAAACAGCAGATGTTGTGTCATTATACTAATAAAATATAATACCTGTAACTGGGCTTAGGGCTAAGATTCTGTAATATTCCACCCTCGGCTCACACCGCAGTTTGGATTATGTAACAGAATCTTAGCCCGCGACTGAGAATTCCCGATCTTGCTCAGTTACAGGTATTTTTTTTAATTTTTTTTTGCACTGTTTAGTTTGAAAAGAAACTATTCAATATTACTTAATGCCGTCTGGGCCTCAAATAGAAAGGGCCACTACTAAAGCTACATTGGAATGCTTTTGCGTAAAACTATAGTCCGTAGATTATATTTCATTTAGAACATCAGGCATCAAAACAACACATATAACGACAAAACAGAATATTTGTAATGCAGATTGTCAATTTCAAGCCGTTACCGCGCGGAAGAATACATCGCAGTGTAAAACTGCCGCGAAATGCTATGTAAAGGTTCGAGACATATCGGACGCGATAGAACAATCTAGCATAGCGTATGACGTGGGATATCTCTGTCTGAGGTGCGAGATATATACGGCTGTACTGAACACGTGTATGTCCGATGCTTGTATCATGACTTTTCACCAACAGTTTGTAAAATTATTTTCTGATTATTTACTTTAGTTAGTTATACTTTTATATATATATATATATATATTTTAGAATGGATACAAATGAAATCAATCGATATGAAATACTTGTGTACGACTCTTACACACGGAAACACTATGCTGGGTCCGCCTAATATATCTAAGCGTTGTTTATCGATTTATTGTTTTCAAATATTACGTCGAAAATCGTCTTTTGTAATTTAATAAACACAAATAATAGCAAAATTAAAACAAAAGGTATTTTCAGTGTTGCATAAAGATACACACAGAGTCTTATTGTTTATTCCAATGAAACAAAATCTATACTGATTATCATTATTTATTTTTATGGAGGAGAAAAGAGGACAAACGTGATTAAATACAATGAAGTTTGACCGACTGATCAACATTATATACACATTAGATGAACATTGACATTACATTTATATCGTGCCTCTGCATTCTCCGCTACCCCTATAACATAAAGTATCTTGACAGTTGTCAGGAAAAGACTCGTTACACTCAGAGCCATAGAATCCGCCTTCACATTCTAAAATATTGAAACACGTGTTGTAGAAGGGTTCATGTAACTCAGCCATGTATGACATTTCAATGACAAGTACGGCATTACCAATGAAGCGTTTGTACATAAATAATTGTAAAGAATTGTTAACCAATAAATACGGATGATTCATTGACTACTGTACTGCATTTAAAATCTCGCCAATTAAGGTATACGTTTATTTCACATATCTATCGAACACAGATTGGGAAAATGTATTTCATATGTAATCAATTCCGATAAAAGGGAACATTAGCTTATCTGTGCACTGACCGTTGTCCTTCATACAAACATAGTTTTTGCAGTTAATAAGGCAAGGCTGAGTACGGTAAATACCATAGAACACATTATCACATTCTGAAAATTTCGGTAAATAGGTAACACGAAGTATCAATAAAAATCACAAGTAAATTATCACATGCCTCTGACAAATTATTACATATGTATGAGATATCGATTGAAGGGCGTGATTCGTGTATGTACAGATAATCACAATCCGGAAATTGCGGTTAATAGGTTTCACGATTTATCAATAGATAAAATCTTCATATAAACATTTATTGTTCATCGTTTATTTGTCTTTTACCTTACAAAACAACGTTTTAAATTTCATTAGAAAGATGATCTTACCTGGAGAAAATGTTTTCCTACCTTGGCACTGGCCGTTGTCTATATCAAAAACGTTGTTTTTGCAGTTAACAGGGCAAGACTGATTACAGAAACTTCCATGGAATCCAATATCACATTCTGCAATGTTGGTGTTAGGACCACGAAAATATTGTATGTACTCCAAACCGATTGGAAAGCTTTGTCGTCGCCATAGCCTTCGCTATCATTGCTATGCTGATGACACACAAATGTACATGGTCATAAAACCACAGGACAGTTGGAATACAGTCTCAGAAAGTCTGGAAGCTTGTCTGACAGATATCAGTATCTGGATGAACGCCAACATGCTTAAACTTAATCAGGAAAAGACGGAACTAATCGTCTTTTCCCCAAAGTGTCAGCAAACAATGGCTCTCCAGCTCAAGGTTGGTGCCAAAACTATTGAGACTGTTCCAGCTGTTAAAAACCTAGGGGTATACTTTGACAGTTCTCTGAACATGGAGAAACAAGTGAACACTATTGCCTAAACCTGTTACTACCAGATCAGGAACATCGGCTATATTCGGCAGTTTCTAACTGCAGATGCATGCAAGATTTTGGTGCATTCACTTGTTACCTCTCGGTTGGATTATGGTAACGCCCTGCTCTGTGGTATATCTGACAAACTAACTAGTCGTCTGCAGAGGGTTCAGAACACTGCAGCACGGCTAGTTACTCGTACTCGAAAGAGAGAGCACATCACACCTGCGCTTTATTCGTTGCACTGGTTACCTGTACGATACAGGTCGCAGTACAAAATTCTGGTATACACATACAAGGCACTGAATGGAACAGCTCCTCAGTACCTACAGGAACTTGTTACCCTGTATCAGCCGTCAAGATCACTGCGGTCGGAGTCAGAATCTTTGTTGTGTGTCCCAAAATCTCGTACTGTGACCTACGGAAACAGATGCTTTGGGAGGGTTTCGGCTACGTTGTGGAATAGCTTACCATCTGCTATTAGGAAGTCGAATACCCTGGCCAAGTTCAAGAGGGACATAAAAACTCACCTCTTCACGTCTGCATTTTAGAATCTTTGCAAAGACGTCATGTAAATACCACCCTTTTATTTGTTCAATTATGTGCACATTGCTTGTTAAATGTATGAAAGTGATTGCAAGCCTTTGTTGTTTGTTTTCACAATTATAACCATTACTTTTATCCATATGTTGTAAAGCGCCTTAGAGTAATTTTACAAATTATATAGGGCGCTATATAAATGCTGTATATTATTATTATTATCTAATGTACCAATACAAATGACCAGTAAATTGTCACATGGCTCTCACAAACTATTACATATGTATAATAAATTGATCGGACGGCGTGGCTCGTGTTTGTACACCAAGTTTTTAGGTGTAGATATTGTTTTCCTTCTAATATTTGATGTATATATCTCTCGTTTATGTAGGAATGCATCCAAGCAATTAACAGTTTTCAAGAGATTAGGTAGTCATCTTACAAAGAAAGGAAAGATTACTATTTTTAAGTCCTTTTAAACCGATATAACTTTAACTACTGTCCTTTGGCTTGGCACTTTTGTAACCTGACAAACGCGAGAAAGATGGAGAAGATCCAATAGAGGGCTCTACGTTTTATTGAAAATGACTACACGTCATCAGTTTTAGAAATATTGAAAAAAAACAAGCTTGATTTTTTACATGTGGCTCGTTTAAAAAATATGGCCATAGAAACTTTCAAGATTATAATAGCACTTCACCATCATTTTTACATGATCTTATTGAACGAAGAAATGTTTTATATAATTTTAGAAGAGAGGACACTCTGAGGATGCCAATGGTGAATACCACAATGTATGTATGGCGAGAGATCGTTTAGATTTGAGGCGGCCCGGGTGTGGAACAGTCTGCCAATGGAGTACAGAAAGATAGAGGACTACCAAAATATTTGTAGACTGCTGCGCACCTGGGATGGCCATCTAGGCTCTTGTGCAATTTGCACCAACACATAGTAATATTCACCTCAGGAACTTATCGTTTGTGATATTATTTCTAATTTATATGTGATATGCTTTGTAATGTATAAATTTGTGTCTCTCTTCCATTTTAGTATTCTGTGATATTTGTTGTTAAATTACTTAATATGTGTATACCTATGTTTGTCGCAAGAATAGCACTACAGTGCTAATGTTATTTGTTTGTAATATGCGACGGTAAATAAAATTTCTTGAATCTTGAATCTTGAATCTTGTGTGCCTGCGTCTATTATTACATTGTGTATGTTATTTAGATACTAAAATATCATCATTAACAACAGTGTGAATATGTGAATTATTTTTCATAATATTCTATAGATTATCTTAAATCTGCCTTTTACTTTACTCTTCAACGATAAATAAGCAATGTCTCCGTTCCCGCACAAAAGTAGTTTCCTTACCTTTGCAATGACCATTGTCCTGATTACATATGTTGTTTTGGTAGTCAATAGGGCACGACCGATTACAGAAACTACTATATAATCCTTCATCACATTCTTAAAATATCGAAAAGATGTGACAAATAAGAATTATCTAAAGAGCTCCATATCTATATATATATTACTTATTATGCAAATCATTCAATCGTTTTATGAATTCATCAATAGACAAGCGTTACCGAATTGACGAATCAAACGGTCGTTTGATATCATAAGTAAAACAACGGTGGTCGTTTTTTATGTTAACTTAAGGATATTACTTTTTATCGTTATTTTGAAAATCACGAATTGAAATTTGCTTGTGAATACTACTTACGATCACAATGTCCTGATGTTTTGTCGCATGTGTTAGTTCTACAGCCATTAGGACATGGTGTACAGGCTGGTCCGTAGAATCCATCATTACATTCTGAAAATATGATCAGTTTTTATATGTCACAGTAGTATTGGGGACAAAATTGAATAACTCCATGTGAAATATATCAACAATGCTTACACATGCCCAGTTAAAACAAACTGTGTGTTCACATATATGTCAATATCATTTACATCGCAAGAATATCAACAGATATTATTAATTTATTCCTTTAATTATATACCTCTGTGATTGTTATGCATCATATAAAATTAGCTGCATTATTTATGACGAACACTAAATATACACTGAATACTGTTTTCTACTATTTACTGTTGAACGCTTAAAATTATATCTAACAGAGCTGAAACAGACACAATGACGAAACATTGGAACGGCTATAGAAAATTCCTTTCAGGCATTTGATGAATAATATCTGTCAACTCAAATAGGGACATCCTTTGTTACATTCAGTGCTTAGATGTTAATCTGTCTAGCACTTTTTTTGGTGCCAAATTTCAAACTGCAATGCATCAATACTTTGGGTTATTTCATACGATTATATACATATATAATACTGTATAGTATGTTCTTGACTCTCATTTGTACTGATTATGTTTTAAGGGGAAACGTTCAAACATAGCTGTGGTGGTGCAGCGGTTATTTAGATTGAGGATCGAGACAAAATACAGGTAAACAACATATCGTGAATAAACAACAAAATATCGGACTAATCAGGAGATTAAAACTCAATAATGTGATACTAACTGACATCGGATTGTCATTCCTGACCTTACGATGTAAGTACATACTAACCTCAGCTTGCGCATTGGTTGTGATTATGTTACAGAGTCTTAGTATTCGATTGAGATAACCCGAATACTCTTAGTTACATATATATTGTTAGTGTCTATTTCAGATGTGTATTGCTAGTAAAAAGTACAGCAGTGTAATTGTAATTGGGGAACATCTGTCTTACCTGTGCACTGACCATTGTCCTTGTTACAAACATTGTTTTTGCAGTAACTAGGGCAAGGCTGATCACACAAACTACTGTAGAATCCAATAACACATTCTGTTTTGAAAAGAAACAAAACAGTATTACATACTTTTATCTGGCGACTTTCGTTAAGCAACGAAAATAACACTATTCATTATTTCCAAAACAGACTAACAAATGGTCGTTGGCGATGTCGTCTTGTAGTACAGTAATGTGACTGCACAACATTTTAAATGCAAAATACACTAATCAGCAATTACATATACACAATGAACATTATTTCAAATCTTCCATTGATCAAAACCAATTGTACTAAATGGCACATTTTTGTGGACATAAGCACAGAACGGGGTGATCGAATTCTAAATTATACGACTGTGAGCATCATGTGTGGACGATGTACGCACGGCGTGCTCATGCTGGTTTTGGGTGTAATGTGCCGTCACACAATTGCAAGGTTGGAGTTATGTTACAGAATCTTGACCCTTGATTGAGATTTCCCGATTTACTCAGTTACATTTTATGGATTGCAAAAGTGTTTTTTTTTTTTTTTTTTTTTTTTTTTTTTACAGTTAACAGGGCAAGACTAATTACAAAAACTGCGATAAAATCCAATATCACCTTCTGAAAAGAAACAAAACAAAACAGTATGAAACAGTTTATTCTCGCAACTTTAATTTAGCCGATGTTTGTCACGCAAACTATATTATCTTATTTATTTTTTAGAATAAAAGGTAATGTTTGATCATCAGAATGAACTATTTCTCCTATGGATCAGTCAACTGTAGACATGTAGCATTTCAACTCTGTTACTGTTATAATCGGATGAGATTTTGATATATAATAATCACTTCAGCAGTATATTATTGATAAACTCTTTGAAAGTGAAACAAATATGTTATCAGTACATGTAGTGTAAAACTGTCAATCCATCATCACAAAAGTATACGCTGATGAATAGGCATGTATCGGTAGTCACTTTATTGTAACGTTTCAACTCCCGACCGAATAAATTAAATAACATGTTGATCTTGTAAGCATCCAAGAAGCTTTCTGAAAGAAGACGATGAATACTACTTACGAACACAAAGTCCGGACGTTTTGTTACATGTGTTAGCGCTACAGCTACTAGGACATGGTGTACAGGCTGTTCCGTAGTGTCCATCAGTACAGTCTGAAATAGGTTAATGTTTGAACTGAACGTGTAAATATTGAAAGATATACACTTAAAAATGTTGAATACCTTTAAACACATCTGCAGGAATCATTACGTTGTAGTTGGATAAGCTATTGTCTAGATTATATAACTATGACAAATGAGCTTTGAATGAATTTAAATGTTCAAAGTGCATTCCGATGTTCTGTCAAATCATGTTATACTTCGATATGCAAACAAATGTAGCAAGATTTATCCAACAACTTTTCTTTATGGGTTTTATTCGATGGAATGCTTTATTGTTCATGGAATTTGTCACAAATTGTGATTGTAAAAAATAAACTAGAACTACATACACGTATGCCGACTTCTATGTCTGCACACTTATACCTTGCAACTGTTTGCAGATCAATAACACATCCGTGTATTTTATTGTGGTACGTTGTAAGTCTTTAGAGTAGACCCGAACCCAAATAGATGTATTTGTTGAACTATTTTTGTATGTATATTTGTGTTTGAATGCTACGTAGTACCTGTACACTGGCCATCAGGACAGATTGTGTCCTTACAGTTTACTGGACATCTGCACCATGTGCCTGAAAATCCCGCTGTGCAGCCGTCTGTTAGGTAAAAGTGATAATGATTTTACAAATTGTGAATGTACCAGGTGCACAACCAAAATGGAATAGTATTACTATTCCATACAGATTGTTTATTGCTAGTATTTATTAAGGTGAGTTTCCTTCAATACCACTCGAGAACAACAAAAAGCTAAATATACCGCAAACATAGCAAATTCCTCCCCCGGGCGATTGCATCTAACAATGTTACATTACTCTCGTCACTTTCACAGGCAGCTGTCTAAAGAAAGTGGATAGGCAACGTTTAGCGAACAAATTAACAAATGCATGCTGATTTGTTTTCGGCGTTGGGTTGACTTTTATAACGTCATTCATATTGGAATTTTTACACGTGCATATTGACCAAGTAAAATACCATATAACCTGTTCAAGTGGCATATAAATGAAGCCATCTAGATACGCCGCTGTGGGCAAATTCTAAATAGAGACGAGGGGGCTCAAAGACTCTCGCACATATATGACCAATTATTAAACAAAGCGTAGCTGAATCGAGTCATTTCGATACATATATAACAACTATTATACATGCGCTTACAGCGTAGCTGAAATAGACATCGATTTTGTGGACAACTCGTACACATTGGACACCTTTGTGTGCATACGCTTCACAGGTCATTTGTCTGATGAAGGTGACAGTGTACATATCGTCCTAGTCATCAAAACGTCACATAGAAAATCGTGTTGATTGTGTAATAAAAAACCTTCTCATAAATAATACCCCGAAAGCATACATACGTTGGCCCAACGTTGACTATTGGTCGTTAGGTTGACCTTATGCCGGCGTTGGATTAATGCTGTTGGCCCAATGCTGGTTGAACATTGTAAAACCAACCATTAATTTTCATATGGTGGGCCAACGTTGGCTGGATAAAGTAAATCTAACAAGTAATGTCCATGTGTTGGTCCAACGCTTGCCCACTGCCATTGTCTATGTGAAATAATAATTGCATAAAAAAATAATTACACTCGTCCAGAAAGCACTAATCAACTGATATTAATTACACAATATTTGGAAATAACCTAATTGAAATTATTTCTTTTCTTTATTTTTTGAAAAATAACAAATTAAAGACGTAGCGATCGAACAAGTTATTGACATGCGACGTATATGAGGATTATAATATGGATTTCTTATTTCCAAATAACATGTATATCTACAACAGCACTCAATGTTTTGGTATATTTTACCAAACTTATCTGATTACTCCTGGGCTCGTACATGCATACCACCAAAACCAGAACCCCAGTGTGAGTCATTTTATATCATCACCTCAGGACATGTCCAAATATATAACCTGGTTATAAATGTGGACAAAATGTGGAGCCCGAGTAAACTAAGGATGATATGTTGAATAATAATATAAATGCAATTTTTTATGATTTGCAATTATTTCGTCCAAAACCCATACCCGCACATGACTTTTTAACTGAAAGCTGACTTATTGCGTTGAAACTAAAATATAATTTGTATAATAGTTGGTTATCCTAACTACATTAAGTATCTACACATAATGTGAATCTTATTAACACGTTGGCATATGTTGTTTTTCTCATTACTTAGCAAGAGGATCAGGGCCTTTAGCTCATCTTTTTTTTTCAATTCAAAAAATGTTTAATACTGTACACTTTAAGCAAAATAAAATACAAGGAATCACCAGGGGTGGGTAAGACACCGCAGAACTGTAAGTATTTTTGGCTTCATACCTAGTATTTATTATCACCATAGGATGGATATTTCAAATGTTCCCATACTGTTACCAATTTACATGATCAGATTACGGTGCCTTTCCGAGCAGCATGCTTGCATTCTTCTTTTGTAAGTCTATGCTTACAGTCTCAGGAATATGTCGCCATCGGGACCCCCAAGCTACATCTGGGGACATATGTGTCTCCGATTCTTCATACCTATCACGCGGCTGTAAGTTGGGGATCTTAACAGTTTCAATGTCATGACTAGGGATAAAACACCAACGGGCAAAACACATAGACCAATCCTAATAGCATAGGTGTAGTGGTCTCTTCACGCCAAACAATGACGTTAACCTTTGCCATTGAATCACATAAATATATACCAGGTTTCATCTGAATCAGGTCATTTTTGACAGTTATTTTGCAGATGCCGTCAACAGATCAGACCGCAAAATGCTAAATAGTTATGGGAGGGAAAACAACTATAGTCTCCTTATACTCCACCTCCGGAGTCTCTGAATGATATGGCCTTTGTTCTGATAAAGCTAACTGACGATACAAATAAGGAGTTATTAGTACATCTATTGCTGATGCTTGTCTATCTCAAAACCAATAATAATAAAAGTATTAATCATGAAAATAGATCTATCATAGCAAAAAAAAAAAAAAAACACATTCTCTATCAGAGAGCTTGTAAGCGTTATGTCTTACCTGCACAAGCTCCATTAAGACTGTCGCATTTATTTCCCAAACAATTAACCGGACATGGGATGCAATTTCCACCGCTTTTATAAAATCCAGCAGTGCAATCTCCTGAAATTTGAGTTTGATAGACGATAACTACGTCCTAATGTTGTTCTTTATAGTTTTAGTTAAAGCCATTTTGTGTGTACACTTTAGCATAAAATGTATAAATTTACATTCGTGTTGATCATTGTGGTATCAAACTCTGAAAATGCAGTACATATCAGGTCAAGATGTATTTCGATTTGCTGTTAATCGCATTGCACTGTCTTATCAGTGATATAAACGATCCTTTCTGATTTGATTTTGTTTTAATGTTTTCTTTTTCAATTACCTTATATTGATCGTACAATCCTACCAAATGGCACATTTGTGCAAACATGTATAAACCACGGAGACAACAACTGCCTCAACATAGAGCTTTACATACGATCTTCGCACCATGTAAACAGTACGTCTGGTGCGTTTTGTGACTCAAAAACATGTAATGTCAATGAACTAGCTTATTCAAAAATATTTCATATATTCGCTTATAGTGATTAACACCAAACAATCATTTTTGACACTTTAAACACTATAAACATCTTAACTTGCTGACATTATTAGAACATAGAACAGTTTCATTAATCTGAGTAACTTATCAACTAATTAAGTTATCAACTAAATATAATACTCACGGGAGCGGAAATGAATAGGGTTAGAGTCAGATACTTTCCGATTTTGTGGTCTATATCTTAATATATGCTATTACATTTTTCGAGGCATTGGTTCTACAGTCATTTACATTAAATGGAACTTTGGAACACTAATCCTAATATTCCCTGCATGAACGTTCAAGATGTTCTAGCTATGCTACATCTCTAACCAACAGGTCAAAGGACTAAGGTTCATACGCAGGTAAAAATTGTGCATTGTCTAGTGTTTGTTTTGTATGCAGTATATGTCGTGATGGGAAACCGCGTAAGTTTATACGTAGGGTGATATGGTAAAAAACAAACGTCAAATACAGCAGAAACTGTTCAACTGCAGGTCGGGCGTTGTTATGCAAAAGGTTAATTCCGGCAAGAAAATCTTGAAACCATCATAAAGATGAGGGCAACACAAGACACATAACACTTATTTACTTATAACACCCCCGCCCCCGCCCNCACGATCGCGATGGTCAAACTATTTTTTCTTATTTTAAAACAACACATTGTTTATCTTTATGAATGTGAAATCTATTCTACCATATATGCTCCAAAATTATCTACAAGCATATATATGTACAATAGGAGTGAAAGAGCGTGCCTTAAGTTTAGTATAAGGAATGATAGAGAGTGGAGAGGTCTAAGAGAAGAAGCATTGTTTGTCCTGTCCGAAGTGTGATATGCTAGTATCCCGACTTTTTGAAACGTTGGAAAATGTATAGGTAGGATTTCTTTGGTTATCAATCAAGCCTTTTCTAAAGCAGAAAACGTATAGCATTTGCAGAAAATATTTCAGTTATAAATGTATTGTCTGCCGACAAAAATACATGTACATGCCTTTCATAAAGATTGTGGTTTGAACATTGTGGTCCAGCAACACAAATAATGCCTTATCAATGCATCAATATACATTTTTCAAGCGTGGTTTTTCAATTATTAGTATAATACAATTGTTCTGCTGTGTTTAATGATATCGTATATTTTCTTCAATTTTCTAAAAAATATATATTGTCCTGTTCTGTATCTAAATGTTCCTTGATATATAAATTGCAGTAAAGTTGATGTCATAATTTTGTCCCTGACTGATATATTAATTTTGTCAAACCCGCATTTACAGACATTGCCAGAGATATACTGGTTAGCATAATTTTGACATTTGACAATATAATACAAAAACGCATTTAATATGTATTACGAGTACACATAGCTTTGTTCATCCAAATCACATGAATGTGGTCATATTAAGCAAACACTTAACAAAATACCACTCACAAAGACGGATGCCATATCATAAAAAGACCAGAGTCAATGGGCGAATGAAAACCAACATTAATATAAGAATTAGCTATATATACGAATGTTCTCATTTCTTAGGTATGAAATACCCGACAACAAATTTGCTCTACTATTCTCATTATTGTTCATGTGTAGGAAATATTAGAGATCAAAGATACGTACCACATGTACCAGATGTTGCATCACATATGTTATTGACGCAGTTCATGCAGTCGTTATTGCAATTGCAATTTCCGTATTTTCCAACTGGACACCCTGGTAAAAGAAATGCAATGTCTACCAACGAAATTTGAGCATAATATCCAGGTGATACGATGTGTTGATACTGAGCAGGGGCAATTTTTGTATTACTTTAGATGTATTATGTATAAGGGATATAAGTATAAAAGCAAACGGAATTCGTACTAATTGAATGTTAACATTCTTCCTCACAACAACATACATGACCCAACCTTAATAACAAAATGGGAGTAGAGTTGAGTGGGTTGTACCATTTCATATGTAATGTAATACGTAATAAAATTGTTTCAAGTGCAATAAACCAGCAATGCCATTGTTAAGCGATGTTGGCTTTAGTTTATAATGGTTTTGTTTTATTTATTTATCTGAAACATAGTTTGACTACATTGATAAATGCGCATATGTTCTCGCACATGAATAACACTACTACTACTACTACTACTACTACTACTACTGATACATTACAAATTCAAAAAATGTGCAGCTCCTGATTTATCACAAAGTACAGGTAAGGATAAAAAAATGAGATAAATAGGGTATGGAAACTACCAATACATATTCACATATTGTTAAACAAGCAAGTTCGTCGTTATGAATTGTATGTAATTTTAAATCAGAAACATGCACAAATGTCTTTGTTCTAAACAATTTTCTTAATTTTTTTTAATGAAGTGGTGAAATGTCTTGAAGAAAAAACTGTTTGAAGGTCATAATATGGTTTATATTCGTAGAAGTAAAAGTTGACAAAACACCTGGCTCTATGGTAACCAGGTAATTACCAGTGCCAGTATTTGAACAGAAAACGTCTTTAATTGAAATAAATCACCAACGTAAAAACGAATTATAACATACTTTGACGTCACTTGCTCATCTTTCGTTTTTTTCTAAAAACGATGATCTTATTTTTATTTTCATTTTTTATTACCATGTGTTATAGTATACTTGCAGTATATTTCATCCTGACTGTTGAGGGCATCATTTTCATTTAAGTGATTTCATCAGCATAGCCTATTTATTGTCAAACCTTTGAGGGTTGTGGTAGGGGCGGTTTTATTAATTAACTCGTCACGTTACGGTCTATCTACATTGTATAATTATGTATCCCTGCTTAGAGCAGTGAGAACGACTTTTAATCTCATGTCTTTTCCAAGACAGTTTTCAATATTTGAACGCGATGGGCTGATATGCTCTGTAATCATATAGCATACAGTGTTTCTATGAAATAACTTGATAAAATCTATATTCGGTCATTAAACTGCGTACTTTGTTGACATTAACAAAAAGGTGTTTCGTATCTTTCCTCAATAACTTAGTTCCATAGCAACATCAACATATTGAATACGAATTCAGTAAAACATTTAGTTGAAAATGTTGTAATACATAATCAGTCGAAATTGTGAACAAACACAATAGTTCAGTTCTGTGATAGATTTAAGTTAACTCACCATAAACTTGTACCTCACACAGTTCCAGTATAGCATCATCCGAGTACCACGTTTTTGCTTTTACTCGACGGTCATTGTAGATGGCCAGATACCGGGCAACACCTGCACATGTAATGTACTGTGTTGCGGACATGGACGCCTTCTCAGCAGTGATGTCCTTATGACATCTGCTTCCTGTTGTCCAGTCACGTGTATTAGACAGCAATACCTCGTATCCGGCGAGTCTGTGTAGTGAATCCTCATCTACAATAAATAAAACACAGTTGTTACATCATCCATTGTTCTCATTGTACAGTATATATGATAATGTATACTTACATCTAATGTCTACCTGAAGGTGTCCATTGTTAGGCAGCAACTGTCCGTTAATTTCAATTAAGTGTTCATTGAATTGGTAAGTTATGGACGGCTACAAGTAACAAGAAACAAAATAAGATTTTGATCGGGGAAAGATTTATTTATTTCACCAGAACCCTTGATTGCAACCATCCAAATGTTCAAAGAAATTAGCACACGTATACGTGTCAAGAAAGACATAATTAACTGAATATCACAACTGTCAAGCATAATTTTACAGTGTTATGTAATCAAATAGCCAGTGCACACAATTCATATCAAAATTTGATGTTAACTGTTACTCCAGCTGTAGAATTATTAATTTCTTTGTGATGATCTTTGCTGACATTATTGTTGTCATCGACACATTCCTTTGCTGTTTCTGACGTTTTCCATGTAAAATATCACTGACGTCACAAAGCTGTTTATCTGTTGTCCGTTTGTATGTACGGACATCATTAGAGCGATGACCTGTTTTCTCTGTTATGAGTTGTTCATTAAAGTTCCGGCATTGTAAAGTCTGGTAGCAGCTGTTGCCCTCAATCATCATTTATCGCCCAAAAATGTCCAAAAACCATTGGTTTAGAGCTGTCACGTGGTGACCCTCTAATTTTCTATAGAGGGTCAGTAGGATTCCATTATAGGGCAATATGGCCGCCCATTGCTCACCGCTTCAAAACTTATTTCTAAAAATGATACAATGCCCACCGGAATTCCTATTCGCTACATTGTATCGTAAAAGAAAATGTTAACGATATGTGTGATATCTTGTTCCAAGGACAAAAAAATGTTACACGTTATGTTTTTGTTATATAATTTATTTTATTTTCATTTATCAAAGTTGATTAAATTTGTTAAATATTCATATTGTTTTGTTATGCATTACATCATTTTTATTTTAAGCAAAAAAGGGTCCTCGATGCGAAAATTCGTTATATAGTCAGTTACTGACCCTCTACAGAACAATAGAGGGTCAGTAAGATGTATAGGAGACTCGGGCTCCGCCCTCGCTCCCTTTAAATCTTACTGACCCTCTATGGTTCTGAAGTGGGTCAGTAACTGACTATATAACTAATATTGTTGGCAGCAATTTCAAATATATGTACAAAGTTGTGTAGTTAATTAGTATTGCATTGTAATAACATACATGTAATTATACGCGATGTGAAATTGCCGATTTCGTGATTATACTCACATTCATGCATGTATAATCCATCCCATAACTATAACATTGCACATTTTTTTTTAATTTATGATATTTACCTCAGACTGATGTACTTTTCGTATATCTTAACCGGATATCATTTTCGTATGCCCTTGTCACGTTAGGCTGCAATTTGCTGTGCTGTAATCCAACGTTGTTTGTTTTAGAAATATCTTCACGATATTTGAGGTATCTCCTTTTTTCAACCTCTGTTTTCACTGTAATATGCTAGTTAATCCCAACACGGAGATTTCCGTGCTCCTGTCCAGCACGTAGCGCAAAGTGTAATCCTAGTTGGAAAATGAGAGTCTCGAGAAGTTTTGGGTAGTGTTCAAACCTAACATTCCTTTATCCCAGGTCTGTATTCTTTTCCTGTTGTTGTTCTGACCTCAATTATAAAAAAGCGTAGGTGATCATATAACTGTTAGTTTGTCTTTGTGAGTAATTCTGAAACCTCAATTCCTTCTCGTCCTTTTTTTTCATGCCTAGAATAATGCAACCGCCCATCGACTTTTGCTTTCTGTTTTCATAGCATATCCTATTTTGACAAAAATCTTCCACATCATTCTCATCCATTGGAGCTCGGAAACGTGTACCTGTGGTTTTTGCATCCTGTGTAACTTTGATCATTGTATCTTCATCAGAAATGTCAGAAAAAAATGTCACACTTAAGGTAAAATTTGGGGTGTTTCGGTTTTTGATATCCTCCTCTAATTGCAGCACACAACTAAGTACGTCGTCCGCAGCACCCGCTGATGGGGACACGTTGTCACCTAAACATAGTGAAGTGAAGTGGAGTGAGTGAATATTCCAGTACATTAAGGTCATAGGAGTGTATTAATAAACGGAAATAGGAAGTACATCCCTAGTTGAAAATACAATGTAGGGAGACAGTATCACAATTTCCGCATATTCTAATGTTTAATATTAAACTGATAAATATTGTATGTTTATTATTGACAGAACAGTGTGTTCTCTCAATATTAAAGTATTTCAAAGCAATCCAGGCATTAATTCAGTTTTTTTTATCAATGAGTCACAAGTGTCCATTTTTGTGTACTTCAGGAAACCGGCTACCTATTTCACAACTGTGAAGTTTTTCAAGAACGATAACTCTTCCATTCAAATACCATTTGTATATGGTTTATTATAAAATGACAATTTTTAATCGTCTATAAATAATTAATTTTACACAATTTCAGCATTTTTTAAATTGATTAATGCAATGCTAATCTGTGTCAGTCACATTTTTATTGACATTATTTTGCAATAAAAGCGTGCCTTTCATTTTTTTTATCAAAATTCAATCCTTTTTACATAAAATTTCATTTAAAATCCTTAAAATTCTGACAACCTATATTGTTTGGGGGGCAGAACATTTATTTAACTTCAAAGCAATATAACAACAAAATTAAAAAAAAAACTATTGAGAAATGGTGACACAATCCTATTACCTTAACACCTACTATAGTGCTTGCTAAGGGTATCTCGTGTGGACATGAAAAGCATGTGAATTTCTAAATACACACACCTTGTAATTGTACCTGTCTGCGGTCATGCATGACCATGTATGCTGTATGAATGGGTGTTACCTGTGACTGTCCAATATTTAAACAAGGGTGTTCAGTTGCTGTCCATTATTTTCCACAAAGGGGTTCTGTGCTTCAAGTAGGAGAACAACCTCTGTGAGAGAACATTCTCACAGTTTTCGGCCTTTCTCATTTACATACTATCATATATACCGTCATTCAGTCTTGGGTTAGCAACCGTTAAATATATAGTATATATATATATATATAATATTTATAGAAAAAATAAGATCATCGACCGACTAAAAACTAGCTGCTTTCACCCTTCACATGGCTCTTCAGGTTAATTCAAAAGAACAACTTCGTGACGTCACAATTACATGTCATCACACTACTATTTACCCGGTTTTACTGTAATTTACAATACGGCATTGAAATGCCCGACACGCAATACGGAAATGACGACACAAACAAAAAAAACGACAAGAAAACATGTGTATTACGAAGGATGGGAAGTCCTTAAGAGTAATATTACATATAGTTTGCCTTTTGTGACTCCGTCTCTACGCATCATAGCATCTAATTGTCTAGCTCTAAGAATACGTCATAGAAAATCTGGTTAAAATATGTTCGATGAGTAATGAAAAATAGGGCTTTTAAATACTGAAACGCCCAAACATCCCGTGTTTGCCTTTATTTTTAGCTCATTTACACATCTATTCAATCCAAGGACCAATGGTATTCCATTATTCTGCTTTTATGTGTGTATACAGGTTGTGTAATATACCCTTGTTTATGACCATTGAACAAAGTATTCAGGTTTTCAGCCACACCCTTTGTCATCCTTTTAAAGTGAGTGCATTCGGGTCCGTTACTTGTGTATAGTTATATGGCAGGGGTATCAATATTTTCCATATGGCGACGAAGGGGCTAAATTACCTAGAGCAAGGACGGATCCTGAGGCCAAACATAGTTGCATCCTATGAAACAAGAACGTTTTTATCTGCTTTTGCTACAATGTATGTATGCTTTTATAATGCAATAATCACGATTGTTTTGGTGGTTCAGCGACACGGTTGAATTTCAAAGTTGAAACCATTCGATCCCGACCACTCCAGCTCAGGTCATTTCAACTTCATTATCTTAAGATGTTACAGTTGTGTTACCGAAAAAAGTACCAAAACAATAACGTGCGCACATCGTGCATTCATCGTCACACACCGTTCGCACATCGTCCACACATTGTGAGCACAACTGTGCGATTTAACAATTGATCGCCCCGTGGTGCGCTTCTCTTCGCACAAATATGCAATTTGGTACAATTGGCTGGCCAATATTACGGGTTGAAAAAATCCGGAGGACTCGAACACTGTATACATACATTTCTCGTCATATTAATAAAGATTATATTCAATTTTACTATGCGTGTTACACAGTATTACAGTAACATCTAGACTGTCAAGAATGGGTTTGGTTCCCATGTAACAGAACAGGTAAATACTTTAACTCCCCTTCGCCTGTATTGTCACACCTTGACGAGTTTGTAAGTGCCCCGGGTGTTGAAAACTACGGTCCATGTACATGTACAAAGTGGCTGTGTTTACTTCTATACGGGACCGTGTCCAGATGTGTTGTAATCGTAGTCGTACATGTTGCGATTTGGGTCGTTTAAAATACACTGAAATACCATCTCAAAATTGAATAAAACAGCTTATTAAATTATGCAGCTAGAATACAGAAACATACTAAAGCAATCAAGTTTATATGTTTAAACACAGATCCGTATATAGTGTTCAGACATTTGTCAATATACACCAAACATGATTGTCATCGCACAACGTTCGCCCATCGTCCGCACAAATGTGTGCAAGCAATAATCGTCCTGATTTTATCGTTCGCACATCGTTTCGCACATCGCGCGCACACCGTGCATCGTGTAACGTTGTGCGATCCCACAACTGCATCAACTTGTTCCAATGATAATTCAGAACTTAGACGGCTATTATCCATAACGATTGGTACCTTTAATACGTCATGAACCTCAGACGAAAACCCTCTCCCTTTGCACAGTTGAGATATTTGATGAAGCGTGTTATTTATTTGGCGCCGTTACATGTAACTATCAATACTATTCTAACAAAGGTCTTGTTGTTCATCAAGCAGTTCACTTCCCA